ACATATATAGATACATACATACATACATACATACAGACAGACAGACAGACAGACAGACAGACAGACAGACAGACAGCCAGCCAGGCAGGCAGGCAGGCAGGCAGACAGACAGACAGACAGACAGACATATATGATAGGAGGATGTGACGATGATGTAACATGCGGCTGCACTGCCACGAATTCATAGCACGCATGATCCCGAAGCTGATTGTGGAGCCTCTGGCAGTCTGTCGGGAAAAAGAAGACGCATATGTCGCGATTTGGGGTTCGGGTTTCGGCTGTAACAAAAGCACCCCTGCCTTTTCTACGTCAAACTCCTTGGCCGCGACGGCCATTGCCTTCCAGGCATCAGCCTGACACCATGCTGGGGCTGCTCCAAGTGACCCTAGACTCTAAACCCTAACTCCCCCCTAAACCCTAAACCCTAAACCCTAACCCCCCCCTAAACCCTAAACCCTAAAGCCTAAACCGGACGCGGTTTTAGCCTTTGTTCAAACACCTCTTTACACCCGGCGCCTTTGGGCTCTCGGGCTTGGGGCTCAGAGCTTCGATCCGAACTTAGGGCCAATACTTGGAGGATCATGGGACTTAGTAAGTATGGTTATAAGTCCCCTGATTGGGGTTATAATTATAGTTACCTTAGTTATTACCCTACTAACTAAGTCCCATGATCCTTTAAGTAACCAGGGTGCTTTCGAAAACGGTCCATAAAGGCTCAGCGGGGGGGGGGTTATGCCGAGAGTTGACGGAGTTGACGGAGCTGCTTCAAAGCGGAATCTCTTCTGGAGGTTGTATGGCTAACTAGGGAACTGGGTTCAAGATTGAGGACAACATAGAAACACGGAACAAGCTCCCAGAGAACCCAATACCCCCTGATTAAGGAATATACCTAAGTTTATAGGGGCCTTAATATTATGATTTAAGGTATGTTCTTTAATTAAGGGGTATTGGGTTCTCTGGGCTTCAAGTGCAAAACAGCCGATCAGCATCCAGCGGCGAGCAAAGTCCTAAGCTTTGGCCTGCCCAGCGCGGTCTCCGGCGACCTGGTACACGACTCCGAGCAGTCAACCGTATCCTAAGTTTAGGGTTTAGGGTTTAGGGTTTAGGGTTTAGCAGTCAACCGTATCCTAAGTCCTCTGCTAGGGCTAGGGTTCTATGAGGGCTCCATAGGGCTAAATTGAACTACCATAACCTACTTTTTTGTAGGTTCTTACTATAAAACCTAATATAGAATTTATAGGGACTAAGAGGGTCTAGAATCCAAGGGCCTGTCTTGTATATGGGTCATTCTCTAAATCAGGGTCCCTTTTAGGGTCCTTCTTATAAGGGTGCCGTACCATATTGGGGACCTAAAAAGGGACCCTAGTTTAGAGAACTACTCATTACAATTATAGTATAATGGGCCCCAAAACCCTATTCGAATTATTAAGGCCCCTATACCCTAAACCCTTTATAGATCCCTTTAAAGGAGCCCCAAAGCCCTGTTCGAATTATTAAGGCCCCTATACCCTAAACCCTTATAGTATCCCTTCTAGAAACCCTTTAAAGGAACCCTTTAAAGGAACCCCCCGAAACCCTATTCGAATTATTAAGGCCCCTATACCAAAAACCCTTATCATGAGTCACTGCTGCCCTTTCGTGCAGGGCTCGGGATCCTCAAAGAGCCGCCTTGGCCAGGCGCAGGGCTTCGCGACCCGCCGTGGCCGCCTGTGCAAAGTACTACCCAGAGAGCCCCATACCCCTTAATTAAGGAATAGACCTTAAACCATAATCTTAAGGCCCCTATAATTTAAGGAATATACCTTAAATCATAATATTAATTAAGGCCCCTATAGTTTGAGGTATATTCCTTAATTAAGGGGTATTGGGCTCTCTGGGTACTGGTTCAGGCAGAAGTTCTTGCAGATACTACGAGTACTGGCGAGTACTGGCCACCTTTGTCCCACAGTCAAGAGCCGCCTCTTGGTAGCGCTGCGTCTGCGTGCAAACCTGGCCCGGCGACAGCGACGATCCCACGGTTTAGGGTTTAGGGTTTAGGGTTTAGGGGTTAGGGTTCAGGGTTTAGGGTTTAGGGTTCTCCCTAAGGTGGGCTTCCTCTGCCACGGCTCTTAGAAGACCCAACTGACAAGGTGGATCTCCAAGCAGGCTAGACTTTGCCTCGGCGACCAGCAGCTGGGCCTGCGAGCAAGGGAGGCTTCTAGTGCTAGGGACCCAGTGCAAAGACGGAGTGTGAAAGTCGCACAAAGACAGCAACCAAGCCTTGGATTCACTCTTCGGATCCTCGGACAATCCAAGGCGGGAATTTGATTTGGGGTTAGGACAGGTTAGGAGGCAGCGACCCTGGCTTTGCCATGCGATGTTCGTGCCCGCACAAAGACCAACTGCACTCTGAGGCCCCTTGCATTCACAGTCTTGAAGAGCGCGGCAGCCTCGCATTGAACGACTCGAAACTGCTGCTGCTGCTGCTGAGTCTAGCACCGGTGCGGCAAGCAGTCAGAAGATTTGACATGACGGTCTGCCCGCCCAGAACTGCCTCTGCAGCGACGGCTCGTGCTTCTGGTCGCTTCTTCTGCTTCAGATAGATGTCGATCCTTCAGGACACCGACTTGGTCGCGGATGAGCAGAGAATCGCAGAGATACCACCCTAAACCCCTAAACCCTAAAACCTAAAACCTAAAACCTAAACCCCTAAACCCTAAACCCCCAAACCTAAACCCCTAAACCCCTAAACCCTTAAACCCTAAACCCATGTCATCCAGTTGCCGGCCCGAGGAGCTTTGTGCTCGTGGCCTGGCTCTGCATCTGCTGGTTCCCTGCTTTTTGGAACCTCAAAGTCAAGAAACGGTCAGCCTTTTTCAGTCCATTGCGGGTTTAGGGTTTAGGGTTTAGGCCAGTCCCTTGCAGTCCATTGCGGGGGGGTTTAGGGTTTTAGGGTTTAGGGGGCAGTCTTGCAAAGCTTCAAGGACATGGGCCTTTCGCCCGGTCTAAGCCCTGCACGCAGCTATGGCTTCGTCGGCCTTGGCCAAAGCCTCATCATAGGCGCCCTGGCGAGCAGGCGGGCTCTAATGGGGATGGGGAGAGCGCGAGATGCAGGCAAGACGAGCCATGGCAGGTTTAGGGTTTAGGGGTTTAGGGTTTAGGGTTTAGGGTCCTAGCAAAGAGGCATTTTTGGCATCAACAAACGTGACGGCCTCCGCCAGGAAGGTCTTCGCCGCAGCCAAGGAGGCAGCTGCCTCCTCAGGGCACTGTTCATCAGAGCCGAGCAAGGTCTAGCACATTTTCAGGTGGGGAGTTTAGGTTATATAGGGCTTCTATAAGGCTTCTATAAGGTTTGTAGGCTTTCTATAAGGCTCCTATAACGGAAACTACCCACCTCAAAATGTCCTAGACAAGGAAGCATCAGCTGACAAGCACCCCGGACAACAAAACCAGGGACTCAGGGACTGGGGGGATGAGTTCACGGCTCTGCAGCCGCTGAGACACACTCAACATCGAAGCCGGCCATTCAATCCCTTGCCATCCCTTGCTTTAGTCAGTTTGAAATGGGGCTACTAACTCCAAGCGCTTTCAAACCCAATTGCGGTTGCTATACCAGGGATGAATCTTCCAAACGCAAAGTGACACGCCGGCCAACGGCCGAGCTCTGCGATTGCAATCTGAGCTCCCGGCTGCCATTGCGACGGAGCACAAGGAATCAAAGCTGCGAATCCTCCGAATTGACTAGCTGACTAGCTGGCTACCTTCTTTGTCCCTTCTCCCTTGCTTGGTGGCTGCTGGAAACCGCGGCTACAATCCAATCTACTTGATGTACATGGTTTTGGCCCCATGAATAACTACCTGGAGGCTAGAGCCTGAAGCTGCAGGAACTGCATGCAACGGCTCGTCCGCGAAGAAGCAGCTCGGTAACGACTGTGGCTTCTCCGGGACCGGCGACTTGCGTACCCTACTCCTGCATTGTGCGCTGCCTTTAAAAGCTCTCTACCCACAGATCCGGTGTCCTGAGTTCTGAACTCGGACACGACCAAAACTGCAAGTTGTGACGGGAACTCTGCACCCTACGATCACATGCATCCCCAAGACGGAGCTGCAGCAAAGCAGTACTTCAATTAGCACCTGCGATCTCCCCCAAGTCTTTTAGTTTCCAAAAATTAGGGTACCTTATTTTGGGGGCCCTTATAATAAGGATCCTATTATTTAGAGTACTATATTAGGGTCCCCTATTTTCGGAAACCCCCTTTTCAGGATGCTTGGCATCTGGTCACGCTTCACGTCCGTCACTGTGCGGCGACAGCTTACAATCGCGAAGTACGGGTGTGCGCTCCGTAGCTCCCTTACATGCCCTATATGTACTCTTTTAAAAGGGTCCCTAGAATTCCCCTAGAAGGCCTAAGGATCCATATTAGGGGCCCATACTTTTCATCTTAGATTGGCACTAAACCGCGTTTCTGTTCCGCTTGCCTTCTGAGATTGCTGGGCTGTGTCGCCCCTGACGGCATCGGCTGGCCCTCACGGTGCACCAAGTACCGAGCTCGCCTGTCGAACAGGACCGGGCGATGGGGACAACTCCGACTTGAGCGCTGCCATCGCTTGAAAGGGGGGATCGCTATGCAACTGCGATGTCGTTATGCGCCTGCTGCGGTACTGTTAACTCTAGAAGTGAGGTTTCGGAGGGGTGGAAGTTTGTCTGTTCGGACCCTTTTGATCGACCGCGCAATGTACATCGACTGCACCGGTCATGTCTCGTAGCGTTCATGGCTGTACAAGGATGCCCTTCGTAGTTTTCATGGCTGTACAAGGATGCCCTTTGACCAGGGATCAGCTGGCAAGGGGCCGCTCAAACAGGACTAAGCCTGGATGGCGCTGTACAAAGTTCAAGAGTTCAAGAGTTCAAAGTGATGGTGGAGGCTCTGCAGCACCAAAACCACTTACATGCAGAGGACACCCACGGTCGGAGCAGCCAAACTGCTGCATGCGATCATTCATCAGCTCACCGCTGAAGGGTAATTAGCTAACTGCCTCTTTTGAGCTGCAGGCGGGTCAAAAAGCGCCGAATGAAGAAAAGGTAGGATTTGGGGTTTCCGAAAATAGGGAACCCTAAAAAAAGTACCCTAAATAGTTGGATCCTTACTCTAATACCCCCAAAATAAGCCCTTATTTTCGGAAACTCCCATTTCGAAGAGACTCTGAGTGTGGCTTCGCCCAGCGCTCTCAGACGCTGGAGCCATCCACCTCCCAGAGACTCCAATATCCCTTAATTAAGGAATATACCTTAAATCATATTAAGGATCCTACTATAATTTAAGGATTATTCCTTAATTAAGGAATATTGGAGTCTCTGGGCTCATCCGCCTTGTCGGAGAGCGGAGTGCGCTGATCGATGTGGCGCAGCCCAGTCCAGGAGAATGCCTCGGAGCGTCCCCTTGCAGACCTAGACTTTATAGAAACCGCTACGATGCTGCATCTTCCGAACATCTTGCGTTGAGCCCCGGTGCGATGGATAGGCCATACATGAAGATCACGGCATAGAAGGGAATATAGCGCCCAAGCGGTCCTACACCTTGAGGTAGGGCCAGCGGGTCAGTGCACATCTCTGTTTCGATATCTTCGGACAGGAAGCAAGCTCTGCCCTTAAGCTCCTCAAGTGCAAGTCGAGCCACGGTTGCAGTACCCAAGGAGCACCTGAATGCTGATAGCTCAGCTGTGAAAGGTGACCTCGAGACCTCGCTATACTTCCAAGGCACCGAAGCAAGGTACGGAAAGACTGCTTCGCAGAGAGCACCTAAGCAGCTTCCAGGTGTTTACCGTGATCTTCTCTATTTTGGAGAACGCCTCTATGACTCTTCGCAGCCATCGTCATATCCTCTACCACCAGTACAAAACGGCAACTCCATTCCTAAACTCGGCATTGAAACAATCACGTACACTGAAGCCATCTTCTCAGGTTTATCTTGGGACAGTCCGGAAGCAGAGACAGCGGAGTCCTATCTAGAAACCTAGAGCTGCAGCACGTCTCGCAGTGCCCTGCCACACGGAAGATTACCCCGTGTCAGAGCGGCTGACTAAACCTATGGTTCGACGTAAAGCCCGCGAGAACTCAGGTCGGCCCCTATCGGTTATGCAGGGATCAGCTAGA